ATTTCAGTTTCTCAACACTTTTGTCAGTGGTATGGATTTAAGTGTGATGCTCTTTTTAACTGGAAAGAAAAAAATGCTGAAGCCTGTCTGGGTGGGTGTTAGTATTCTGCTGTTGCTAAGGATTCTGTAGTATTCTCATTTTCCACAATACAAGAATTAGTAAGATGACTTTCCCTCTCTAATTTTGCGGTAATTCAAAGGAAATTATTTTAAACCACTGCCTTTGAATCCTGTGGTATGGTTTCTCAGACACTAATATGTTCTTGTGATTCAGGAAAAATGTGTATGTCTGTACAGCTGTCTGCTTTTGTGAATTGATACTGTTCTTTATTGGGCCATAGATAGCTAGCTAATTGCTTGTGTAGAATTAGGGTATAGAGGGTTCCCCTGCCACCACTGCCCTGACCCCACTCCAGTTGTGTGAAAGATTGAAACAGAGGGGATGCTCAGAAATCTTAATCTTATCTACTTGTTCAAGGTCTCTAGGTTATTTTTGACAGAGTATAGAGTATAAGTGTGGTATCACTGAGTCTAGAATAGTGGTTCCCCAGCTAGTTGTAAAACTAAGTCATCTGAGGAATTTCATCTCTGATTGCAATGTCTGGATGGGGTTCCAAAAAAAATGGTTTTGGGGTCATATATAGGGGTGGGGGTGAGAGTTGGTGGGAGTAGGTGTAGTTTAGAAACCACTTCAAATCAGTGGTGGGGTGTGGTAGAGAAATAGCTAAATAAAGAAAACCTCTGAAGTGTAACAAAGTCTTCACATTTTAAGGGATCGATTGTTAACTTTTGTTCTTCTGAAGTTCTTTTTTTAATAATTCTAGAAGTTTGCAATCTAGAATTTTTATTTCTGAAGATTGGAGAAGGTAATGGGGGTTATTAAACTTTTTAAAATAACAGCTTGAAGATAGTATTCACATACATTAAGTTCTCACCCTGAATGTTTACAATTGAATGGTTTTGGTAACTTTACAAGTTGTGCAATCTTCACGACAGTACTTTTTTTTTTTTAACCGGGCATCGAACTCGGGACCTTGCACTTGCGACAGTACATTTTTAAAACATTTCATCATCCCAAAAAGAAATCCCCTAACAACTATACAGGCATTTTTTTTTTTAATATTCAAGTCTAACTTTTTTGCTCCCGATAAAGCTTTATAGGCTAGTATAAAGGTTTTTTGATTCGAGCTATAATTATATTTAGATAATAGTATCTCATTTTAGGCCTTACTTGAGAGTTGCATTATTTTTTTGAAGGAAAAATTAAATAAATTAACCCTTGTGTGTTGTATCTAGTCTTTCACATGAGAGGATAAGAAGGCTGCACTCTGCACAGATCCATCCTCTTTGGTTAACATAATGTCTGTCATGTGATGATTGGCAGCCAATGATGGATGACATATTTCAGTGACATTTTGAGTGGAACAGGGAGTAAAGTGCCTAATATTTCCACTTAGTGGGTAGGTATACTTTATTCTGTATGAAATGGGAGAATTTAGTTAGATAACTTTTTCCATAGATGTGAATCCTTGTTCTATACATTTCCAAAGGAAGCTGCTGTACAGATAAGTCAGTTTCACAATTCTTTTGAAATAAATATTCCGATTAAAAGACTTATCCAAGTACTACCATTGATGTAGCCTTGCTACACTGGTAGCTGTTATTTTACTCAAGTTAGGTTATAGCCCAGCCTAAACATTGAAAGTTTGGGTTTGGGAATTGGGGCTATAAAATCCCAACTGACTCAAGGAAGGCAAGCCCCTGATTTATACACGAGTCATCTTCAGGAAGAGGAGTTGCTGGGATAGAATACACCTGTCATCATCCCACTAGCCATGGCTTCTAGGTGTAAGATCCTATTACGAATACCAGGAAAGCAGTGTTCTATTAATAACACTAACAGTCCAAGCTGTAATTCTTGCTTCTGTGGGTTTCCAACACTTCCCTTCCCTTGACACCCACATCTGTCATTATAGAGTTATATCCATGGACCACCTAAAACTCCAGGAAGACAGTCATTTAGTAGTTAATACCTTCCCCTGAGAACTTTTGGAATTCATTACTGTTTATTTAATCCTCTTCAAATAAGACTGCATACTTCTCACTGCCAGGCTTTAAAAAAAAAGAAAAGAAGAAAGACAAACAAAAAACCTAACACAACACTCATGAAACCTCTGTGACCTTAAGCAGAAATCTTGCTGCTGTTGCCTAAGACCTTCTGTTCTGTGAATGAAAGAATGCTTTGAGTGGTTCTGCCTTAGTGGGCCACACAGTTTGTGGGTTATCCCAGTATGGCCTCTCTTTTCTCCCTTTCCTCCTGCACTGATTTTTTTTCTTTTTCCTTGGTTATTTACAAAGGGTGGGAGGAAATGAATCTGAAAGGTGATTTCCATTTTCTAGAAATAGTTGATGTAGAAGCCGTGGGCCAGTGACAATTTGGGAATATCTAATTATCATTATTTCTATTTTTGATCCATCAAAAGGTGATTTGTTTTGACATGAAAAACCAGCCCAACTTTAATTAGTAAACCTGGCTCACTTTGACAAGTGTGTTCCTTATTCTATCAAAGGTTCTGTAACTTTGAGTTTCTATAGAAAAGGGACTGGGATTTTACAACTAGTAAATTGATTCCTGGTCCTTGTGAAGCAAATGAGCTAGAGGCCAGCTCTGAGAAGCACTGCTCTGGAGTATGCACTTGCCCTGCATGTACCAGTTTGAAGTTCTCTGTGATTAAATGTGGGTAATTAACAATATGTGATTCCAGTGTGTACAGTTTCCAAGGCAACATGCACTCTGTCACTCTGCTGAGACTGGGAAGATTGAAAGGGACCATGGAGAGGCCTCAGGAATAGTGGCATCTAGGCAAATGCTATCAAAGGTGTTTATGATGACTACATTTTCATGTCATTCAGGCAAGGGCTCTGTTTAATGGCAGCAGCAATAATGAAAAGTAAACACACGAGAAGCCAGAGTTGCAGGGTGACTTGTGTAGGCAACACAACGACATGAAGAAGGATGAGGACAGCCATTTGGCTGCTTGCATTTCCCCACTTCTATCTTCTCAAATCAGTTTTGTCCAGAATAATAAGGATGGCATGAGCTGACCTTGAAAGGCTTTGTAAAATTAACCATTAGCTATGTTAAATATTTGTCCGTCATTTCTTAGTTCTGATGAAGGAACTAAGCAGGTGAAATTCACCTGCTTTCACTTTCTGTAAGGGATGGATTAAAGTTAACATTTATTGAACACTTACTATGTGTTAGGAACTTCCATATGGATTAGGGTCTTTTGGCCCTAAATGTACCTATTAAAAGAAATCTATATGCTTAGGTTCCACACTTTATACATTTCCAGACTCAATGAAAAAGATACATTCTATACTGTATTTTAGCATAGAATTGAGCTTTTTGGCTTTAGTTATAAAGCTGTAAAGGTCAGTGGAAAAGCATGCAGTTATCAGTTAGATTTTGGGATTTGCTTCTGAATGCCATTGTACAGAGCCAGTGTGACTGTAGGCAAGTTTCTTAACTTCTCTGAGGCTTTCTGCTTCTGAAAAATGAGGATTTTAGACTAGCTCAGTACTTGTGACTTTTGAAGGCTGGCAGTGTACCTTGCAGAATTCACGGAAAACTAGGCAATTCCTCCCTGAAAAAATTGCATGTATACTTATCAAAAAATTATATTCAATTTACAGGGACCACAGACTTATCCTGAATGAAGCAGTTGTTTAAGACTCTTCCAGCTCCAACTCAGAATTACTGGTCCCACAAGGAGCAAGTTTTTAATTGTTTAGAGTGGCCCCCTGAGGAGTGAGTTATTTGATGAGGGAGGTTTTATTATTTCTGGCATTTTTCACTGACTGAACTGTGCATTTGGGGTGAGGGAAGGTGGGGACAAACAGTGGAAAAATAAATAAGGAGTGAATGGCATCTGGAATATGAACTGTTTTCCTTGTCATTTTTCACTGTTGCAGAGCTTCAAAAGGAGGTAGGTAGATGGTATCTTTGCAAAATGAAGAATGTGTAGGGGAATTAAGTCAGCATATATGTCTTACTCCATTTGTTACTATAATGGAATACCTGTGGCTAGGCACTTTGTAAAGGAGGAGAGGGTCATGGGCATGGCACTACATCAGCTCAGCTCTGGTGGGTGGCACCACAGTGTTGAAAGCATGTGCAAAAGCTTGTAAGAACTCACTCCAGGAGACCAGCACTCCCTGCTGAGGGCACACCCATAGGACCTAAGGACCTCCCACCAGGCCAGCCCTGTCTCCTACCCATGGCTGTCATGGGGCTGGGCCTGAGGAGGTCTCCAGGGTATGAGTAAGGAACCTAACCCACCTTTTTATAGAATAAGTTTGCAGGCTCACTGACTCTTCTTGAGGAAAAAGAATTTTCAGGATGCCTCAGTAAGAGGAACAGGAAGGGCTTCTTAGGCACAGATTTTCAGGCTCACTCAAGGGTGGAGTATGGTTACTCGGGGAAAGGAGATATATTGTTTCCTGGAACAGGGGACATTTACGCTTTTCTTGAAGGGGAGGACACCCCGGGAGAAGGTGGCTCCCCTGCCCCAGAAGAGTAGCAGCCCATTCCACAGGTATGGGCCCATTTTTTAAAAAAATAGGTAATTTAAACATTCTTTGGATTCTCTCAACCTGCTCCTTTATCTTAGGATGAGGTTCCTGCTCTTTACTTTATTGGTTAAGCCAATTTATGGATTTTTAGTATGCCTGATGGATTTTGTGTGTGATGGGTCTGGTAGGGAAGTAGCCTAAATTTTAATCAAAGCCATGCTGATATTGTTCACATTGGGCAACTTTGGCTAGGTCCTGTAAGTTTCCGTCATTTTAAAAGTATAATTTTTAGTTATTTCCTTGTCTCCTTTCTACCTGTCTTTCATTTCTTCTATCCTACCTCAGCCTGATGTTATCATCCAGTTAGGAGAAAATATGTGTAGTGTTTATTTGGATATTCATTCATTCTTTTATTCTTTGCTTAGGTGTTGAAGAGTCTCCTAGGACTTTGGAAGGTTGAATGGACTAAACATGAAGAGTCTGAAAGCAAAGTTCAGGAAGAGTGATGTAAGTTGCTGTGACTCATGGTCTGGCTGCTCCATTCTGCTCCCTGGGGTTGTAGAAACAGCCTGCACTCCTTTCTGATAAGCTCTGGGTTAGTAAACTACAGACAGCAAAAGCACACTGTTCTCAGCTCAGGCTGCTGTCAGTGGTATTCTTTAGGTTTCTTCTTAGGCTTATGTATAAAGCTTTCAAAAATAACTTAAAAAAAATTCTTGGGACCCATGCCTTTTATATAAAGGAGGGGTCAAATTAAATATCTTAAAGGAAGAATCAGTATTAACCTCAGCATTTCTAAAGTTGCCAAAACCCAAATTCTGAGTGTCATTTTTAAAAGAAACTATTCTCATAAGGGTAGTTATGGAATTACATATTAGCATGGTTCATCTTTGGCCTTAAGAAACTTGTTTAACTCTCCCTTAAGGCCCTCATGGTAAAACAGTAATGTCCACTGCTGCCTGTACCTTCACTCCCCCTGAATTCCCTGGTTACTGACTCATTTGTTGTCCACCCTAGAAGACTTTGGATTGGAAGAACCAGATATGATGTCAGAATTACAAATCAAAATCTCCCATCAGAGGAAATGGAGAAAAATAACATAGCAGAGAGGTTATGCATCATATCTTAACAAAAGGTTGCGCTTTAACCCCTGCTGGAATCCCAGTGTTGTACTTGCTGCATTCCAGATGCTTCATGCAGGGCTGTTGAATGGGAGTAATTCATGGAGGGATATTAGATAGAACCCCAGATATGTCACCCTGAAAATGGGCTTGCTTGGTTATTATTTAAAATTAGGTAATTAAATCTGAACCTGGATTTTATTGCTTTACCATGAATTCTATTTTGACAGCTTGACATAACTGCATTTTTGCAATAAATGGAGGCTGCATCTTTTATGGCCAGCATGTCACATGCACACCTACTTTTGGCTGAAAAATAACTCTTGAGGCTGTGATGTGACAAGTAAATTACTGCTCTGATAAGGACCAGGCCAGACAAGATGCTTTTAGTGCGATGCAAAATACAATATTGTCTCACTTAAAGAAAGAGCTGGGGGGGCTGGGGATTTAGCTCAGTGGTTCTGCTGCCTGCCTCACAAGCTCAAGGTCCCTAGTCCGATCCCTGGTACCAAAAAAAAAAAAAAAAAAGAGCTGGCAAAGATTCATAGGAAAAAGTTGATCTCACCTTTGCATTCTTAAGGTAAATTAACTAAAACTCAGAAAATTAACTAAAACTTTGGTTAAAGTAAACTAACTGAGCCTCTGTTAACTAATAATTAAAACTCAGAACTAGCTGGGTGCGCACGCCTGTAATCCCAGCACTCGGGAGACTGAGGCAGGAGGATCACAGTGAGTTAGAGGCCAGCCTGGGCTACATAGTGAGTTCAGGGCCAGCCTGAACTACAAAGAGAGACCCTGCCTCAAAAAACAAAACAAAACAAAACAAAAAAACCCTCAGAACTGACTTGATCAACCATGTACTTAGCCACTGGCCAAACAGAGCCCCCGACATTTGACTTCTTGGCTGCTACTCTCCCAGGAAACCTTCATCTTGCTCATCTGCTGACTGTATAATCTCAAGCCTATATATCTCCTTTGGCTTTCAGTTAAGGAAGAAAAGGCAATTAAATGGAAAAAATTGCTTGGTTCAGCAGATATAGGTTTGTAAATTATGTGATCAGTTTAACAAATGTCTTCTTCCATTCCAAGGGAATTTGAGTAGTTTCCATTTATTCAAGTTGAGATTATTTTAGCAAAATGTCTTGGGCCTAGAGTTCCATGATATATGAACGAGGGCAGGGGGTAATGATAGCACATAAATTTTTGGTTTGAAAATTTAAGGCTGGTGACATCAGGAAGGGTGTTGCTAGATTTTACTTTTTAAATAAAGACTGAAAGAATTCCATGATTAAAAAAAAAAATCAGCAGTAACACTAGTAAAAGCTTCTGGGATTTGGCAGCAGAAGGGGTGGTAATTTTTTGACAGAGGAAATGTTGGAGGAGCCCTGGGGGAGGAGAGCAAAGGAATTGGTCTAATTGAGCCAACAAATTCACATGGATTCCCAAATTCATCCCGAATTGTTTCCACAAGCCACATCATTGCATATCTAAAAGGAGGGAATAATAACAAAAAAGAAAACCATTTTAAACTCTATAGTTTGTTAACCAGCTATATGCTAATAATGATAATAACTGTAAACCATTTTGAAGTAGTTACCATATGTCAGATACAATGCCAACCTTTTTATGAGACACTGATTTATTTTTACTACAAACCTTATATGGTAGGTTTTATCATTAAGCTTATTTTGCAGATGAAGAAACTGAGTCATAGGGAAGTGCAGTAATTTGTCAGGGTTCTTAAGACTTTAAGTTGTAGAACTTGCTTTTATTTTGCCAAGGACATAGGATTCCAGAAGCTGTGTTTCTTAAAAAGGAGCTCAAGTTGGAGACTATTTTATGAAACAGGGCCATTTAGAGAGAAGGTTGAAAAAATCACAATGAGCTGGGATTTAGACTTGTGGCCTTGATATGTCTCTTATTCCTCTGACCTTGGGGTTTTTTTTAACCTGCAAATGGAGGAAATAATATCAGCCTCACAGGTTTATGGAGAAGGTTAAATACACTAATGGATGTCAGACATATATCCCAGGGCCTGATGTTCTGGATATATGTATTCTTTTCTCCTACTAAGAAACCCACAGTATAAAATAGGATTCAAAAGTTTATAGGATCAGAGGGCAGAATATCCGGTAATGATTGCTAGTAAGGAGGGAAACTGAGAGCGGGTGAGAATGCAAGAGAAGCTTGCTTTTCGGAGTATTTTTTTCAGCATGAGGATTGTACATGCATGTATATATTTATTGCAAGAAAAACAAGTTTACAACTGATTACCTTCACTTGAATGAGCCAAATGATAATCTTTACCTGAAGTGAGTGGTCTTTCTCAAGTATCCTAAAGCACCAGCAGTCCGGTTTTCCTGCTTGTCTTTGTGTGCAGGAAAAGGGAAAAGAAAGAATTCTTTGTATTTCTGGGGGTAGGCAAAAGAGGATGCCAGATCAGGTTCATGCTTACACAAAGAGAAGACAAGTGACCCACTGGGTGATTGCATTTCAGCCAGTCTGTGTGTGGGAGGTCTGCAGCCAGATTAGTTTGTGGCCATTAAGAACAAAACTCAGGAATAAAAAGGGGAAAAGAGTGGCCCAAAGGAACACCCTGTGGATGGCCTTCAGGTCAGTCTGGTACTCCAGGACCATCAGATGGGGAGAAATTTAATCAGTATCCTTTCTGGAACACTTGACTTAGACTCAGACTAACTACATACATGTCCAGGGAAAGTTTATGTATGAGACTGAACATGATTCAATGGGATATGGTTAATGTCATTGTCTAGTTGATTTGTTCCCTAAATACATGGGACCCTACGGGTAATTCTTAGAGGTTAATGTGAATTTAAGAGCTTCTATGGTAGGTGACATTTTTCAGCTCACATTTACTTTATTTTAGGGAGTTATCACACTCGGGTTTGATACTAGAGAGGGGATACAGGAAAACTGCAAGGTATTCCCCTCCCCCTTCCCACCAGTACTAGGGGTTGAACCCAGGGCCTACATATTGAGCTATATCCCCAGTCTTTTTTTTAACTTTTTATTTTTGAGACAGTCTGGTGAAGTTGCTAAGTTGCCCAGGCCAGGTTTGAACTTGCAATCTTACTGCTTCAGCCTCCTAAAAGTGCTGGGAGTACAGCCGCTGCTGTTATGGCTTGCATCTAGATAACCCTCAAAGCCTCAAACACTCAGAGATGGGAGCTGGCTGGATCTAGGATGTGAGATACTGGAATTAAGGGTGTGTGATACTAAATTAGTCCACTGATTGGAATTAGCATAGTTCTGGGTGTGACTGAATGATTTACTGAAGATGGAAGCCCCACCCTGGGTGTAGGTGGCACCGTCTAAAAGCCTTGTAGCTTGGATGGGATAAAAGGGAAAGGGAGGCTTCCTACTGCTGTTTGCTGCTTCACTGCCTCCTGCCTCCTCTGCCATGAACTGTTTCTCCTCTACAGTGACCCTCTGTCATGCTACTCTGCCTCAGAGCCAACTGATTATGGACTGAAACCTCTACAAACTATGAGCTAAAATAAACCTTACTCCTTTAACTTGTGGGTGTTGGGTATTGTGTCTCAACAAGGAGAAAAGTAAATAAGACAGGCATGCACCACCTTCTCTGGGCAAGTTTGAGCCCAGCCTGGCCAATTTAGAGATTTAGTGAAACCCTATCTCAAACAAACAAGCAAGCAAGCAAACAAACAAACGTAGGGTGAGGATATAACTCAATTGCAAAGCCCTGTGTTCAGTCCTCAGTACCCCCCCCACGCACACAAAAGCTGATAAACTTGGGTAGAAGGAGGAAAAAGCACATGCAAGAAGTAACTAAGGCAAAATACCAATAGAATATAGGTACTAAAGGGATTTTTCAAGATGATGGTTGTTAGATTGTAGAGGTTGGTATTAAACACATTTGATTTTCAGAGGGGATGAATCTTAATGGGAGAATTTGAGGGAATTTATTGTGGTGGATTTTCACCCAGGCCTTGAGGATATGTAGGCCTGGAAAGCATGGTTGGAGGAGGGGAATGGCTTAGCACAGTAGTAGACTCCGTCTCAAAAGTTGCCCTTGAAAATACAGAGTAGTAAGACTTCAAGGCCAGAAGAGTGCCCAGCATGGCTCTAAGTATTTCAGTGAGAACATTGTGGAGTTTTCAGTCTGGTTTTTAAAATGGGTACCCTGACTTTTATGCTTATAAAGCAAGTACAGAGCGTTATCATTATTTATATGTTTGATGACTGCCATTTTTTATATGCTTTTCCTTTAGTTTGAAAGTGGCTTCTTTACCTAGATATTTGTAGCAACTTGTATGTGGTTCCACATGGAAAAATGAGCTGTCATCATGAGAAATGAGGCCAAAAAGCTTGGGATTTCCCTTTGCTAATAAAATGCTCAGGCTT